TATGTTCTGTTCCCTGACACCCACAGTCCTAGAACACCGGGCTGAAGTGCTGGCAAGAATAAGAACCATTTGTTAAGTACAAAAAATGTCTCACGTAATTAGAGAACTGCTGAAAGCCACCAATTTAGTGCTCAGGCTTGAAAATGTAAGAATATTTATTGTAACAAGAGCAAGAGCTTCAGCGTTGCCTCGAGGTGGGGACGCCGCACACATACAAGAGTGTGATCAGGGGATCAGATACCTGGGGCAGAGCCAAACACAAGGGGCAATGAGATTCCAACCCCACTCCAACACCTCCATTAGTGGATTTTATGCTAATTATGAAGCCAAGCTGCCCACCAGGTACCCGAGCACCTTCCACTGGGGTGACGTGTCCCCCTCCTCAGCCTCATTCCCTCCACCCACAGCCTCCAGCCATCATTCCGTAACCATTCCCTCCTGTTCAGCCCATCAAACTGCCTATGCCCCAAAAACTCTTCAAAGGTCAACACTGAGAAGGGCAACAGTGAAGAGAAGATGGAATGTGACATTAAAAATGGAACATACGGTATCTGAAGGGAGTCAATTTTTACATATTGGAGAATAAAGTGATGCAAGAGAAGCAGAGAGTGGAAGGGACTGGTGGAGTTTGACCCGAGAAGAGATGAAGACAGAGCTCCTGAGCCTGCCGAAGAGGAGCTCTGCCAGCCACAGCTTGGCTCCTCAGCCACCAAAGCCACCAAGGTCTCCCTGCCAACAGCTCCTCAGCCCCACAGCTCAGCTCCCACCAGGTTTGTTCCCCTCTCACCCAGCCCAGTCCAGCACCTCTGCAGATGTGGGTCATGCGCCGCAGCAGGGCCAGGTAGCGCCGCCGCCGGCCCGGCACAGAGCTCCTGCCATAACCCAGCGTGGGGGTAAATCCATTTCGGCAGCGGGGTCCTCTCAGAGCAGCCTCTGGAATGCCACCTTTGTGGTACCACACAGCCATCCTTTCCTTCCACGAGCTTCCCTGCGGCGACCGCAGCAAAAATTGAAAAAGTGCAAAAAAAGTCACCGACAAAGTAGGACTTTAAAGCTGGCAGGTGAAAACCAATCCAAGTTCAAACCAATCCAAGGCAAGCAAAGCTTTAAATTCCACTCCAGGACAGCTCTCTGCAGGATGCGGAGCAGCAGCTCCGTGATTCCAGCGGCAGGGAGCAGATGGGATGCTCTGCCCGGCCCCTCACACAGCGTCAGCTCCCAAGCTCACCCGGGTGTGTGTTTGTCACAACGCTCCTTAATTCCATATTTTATACCTGCCACATTGCTCCATCCATTGCTCTATTTATAGTCCGTGCCAGAGCTCCCAGGCACCCAACTCCAGCGACACACCAAGCAGCAAAGATCTCACAAGGATGTCTTTACATCTCAAACACCACTGAAAGCAGAGCAGTGACTGACAACTGACATCCCACAAAGCCAAGTACTGGTTTCCCATCCATGGGAACGTGCACAGCACTCACAGTCCCACCGGTTTGTTCTCGCATCCCGACTGCTGCATCTGGACAAACGGGCTGCTCTCCTGGACAGATTCAAACCAGTTCTGCCCACTGGCCACCAGCTCCTATGCTCAGAAAAGGTTAAACTTGCTCTCCGCAGATTTTATTTGCTCCAACTCTCATTTGCAAATCCTTTCCCCAGCAAAATAGTTGGGAAAAAAAAAAAGGCAAAAAAAGGCATTTTCCTCCAATAAGCTTAAAGTCCTGTAGCTATAAAGTCATTCACTCTGGATACAAGTGAACTAAAGGATGAAGAGTGTTCTCCTCCTTATAAGAAAAAAAGCCTTCTTGAGCTTACAGCTTCCTTTCTTCTTTATTCACCATAACTTGATCCATTAACATGGTATTTGCTCCCCCTTCCCAGAGCACTGGGATTTAACGCTCCTTTACTTCCCTAATTTCTCACTTAGCCACAGTCCTGCCAGCAGCAACCTCTCCCCTGGGCTGTCAGACCTCTCCAGCCCGATTCTCAGCTCCTTCCAGCCATCCCTCCTCCTGTCCATCACATCCCTCCACCTTCCGCTCTTCCATAACTTCTCCGTAGGTCACACCAAAAGGGGTGGCTCTGCCCAGTAACACATAAAGGATTTCTCTGCCATCAACAAATTGCTGCATTCCCGAGGAAAAAAAAAAAAAAAAAAAAAAAGCTCTGAGAAAAAGCTCAGTTCTGCAAGGCTTGTCCCAGGATTTGATGCAATCTGCCGTGCCGGCAAATTAAAGCCTCCAGAAACCACGCTAAAATTAGAGAGAGCTGAGATGAAAACCAAGGACACATGGTGGCTCTTACAAATCTTTAAATAGGGCTTGGTACAGCATCGAGGTGCTTGGCTTAGATCCACCAAGATCATTAATTTGGATTATAGAGAGGCATTGGCTGTTTCTGGGACTCTTTGCAGGGTGGTGGGTGTGGGTTCCCACACACCGAGCTGATGTCCCAGTGGATTTTCAAAGTGCTGATGATCAGTCTGATGGATTCACACCCCTTTGCCAAAGGAGAGAGGTTCCTCCTACACCCACTTCCAGAAGGTTTGACTCCCAGGTCACCAACCCTGCCCAAGGGAGGCACCCAGGACTGGCTGTCCCAGACACAGCTGGGGCTCCTGCAGCTCCAGAGATGAAGCTTTTGCTCCCCATCACCCTCCAGCAGGGCAGGGGAGGGGGGCTGGGAGCTGAATGTCCAGGAGGGTAAAATTCACCATTTCTGAAGCACTAGGAAACCCTTCCTGCACATCAGTCCCCTCTCCTACCCCTGATCCCAGGCCCCTATTGGCATGTGCTGAGACCACAATAGCACCATGGTGGTTGGATGATGGCACTGGGGATGGTGTGAGCCAGGGGTGACTCAGTGGCCACGGGGCTCTGGGGTGCTCAAGGGGACTTTGGTGAGCTCTGTAGCTGCCACCACACAGCCACAGCCTGCCCTGCCTGGGCAGTAGCTCTGAGGTCGGTCCATCCCTGTTCCCTGGCTCTGAGATGAATCCCAAAGCTCTGCTGTATTTTGCATCCCTGGCGTCTCTGCTTTAAAATCAATGCTCACAGTAAAGCCTTGTACAGCTGCAAGTACCTCAGGGACAATTAATTCCTCTTTAATATGAAGTTTGGTGGCTCTAACAGCGCACATGCTGTTTCCTTGAAATATTCCAGAGACAATGGGCAACCTCCCTTTTAAAATCCTATTTGTAAGCAGCTACAACTTCTAGAAATTTTTAATGAATTTTTAAGAAGCATTTACAAATTACTGCAGGCCCAAAGACAGGGAATTTGCTGCTGGTCAGGCACTGCTCCACCTTCCCAGGGACTCCCACCAGTGCAGCCGTGGCCGACCAGCTGCCTCCAGCCCTGCATTTGCTTCCGAGCTGCAGCTCCCTGAGCCTGCTCCAATCTACCAGGCACTCAGGAATGGCTCCTGTCACTCCAGCAACTGCCAAAATTGGTGTAATGTAAAACCGGTTTTTTAAGCATTTCACAGGATTTGTGTAACTGAAGACACAGGAAAGCCCCTCCTCTGTGAGATAATTACAAAATTAAAAAATGCCGGTTTATCAAAGGAAAAGTTTTACAGATCAAATCCAGACAAAGGATGAAGTTCACAGGGACACCAAGCTGACACGATACATCAAGCTATTTCATTATAAGTTCATTAGATTAATATGGCTTTGACATAAACCACAGTCATTAATATTGTTTGAAAATGAAGAACCCTCCTTTCACTGCAGCGGCATGAAAAGAAAGATCCATGACCTCCTCAAAGGTCCTTCCAACCCCCACACCTATGAACTGAAGCAATGTGAATATTCCCAAAAAGAGGCCATGCTTTCCAAGACACACAATTTATCCCTAATTCTATGGGTTCTGAGATCAGCTGTTCCTATTTCTTTACCAAGTCCTACTACTTCCCAAAGTGGCTGCAATCTGTGCCGTGGAGGTTGCCATGGCAAGGATCCATCCTCCAAGAGGAGCTGAGTGAGCAGATGCGGAACAGCAAAATCCAACACATTAAGTCACTTCTCTTGTCATGGAATGATGAGGAAAACGCTTTGTATTTCACCTGTTCGTAAGAATTATGATCACTCAGAACACCCCAGGTTAAAACCGCGAATGGCACGTGGCCGGAGTTTCTGGCTGAAAACCACAGATGTACGAGAGCAAAATGAAGGGATTTCACTGGATTGACAGAAACAGCAAAAAGATCCGTACGGATCGTTTCTGTTTTCCAAAAATCAAGGAACTTTCACCAGGGCTCTCATAGCCATGACCGTTCCTGGTATAGCCCCCCAGGAATAACGAGGAAACCCAGCTGGTTCCTCGGTCCCCTCGGCAGAGACACGGAGATAAGTCCGGGGGGAATGCAGGCCCTGAGCCCCCACGGCCCAGCCCCCTGCCCAGGTTATCCCAAATCCCCCAGAACAGGGATGCGCTGGTCCCCATGGCCCCAGTGCCGACCAACTTCAGCATCCGCTGGCCTTCTCCAAAGCGGCCAGGCTGTGGGATGGTGCTGGCAGAAGGACACGGCACCGAAGCCACGCGGGACCGCGGAAGGCAGCGCTGTCCCTGCTCGGAGGCACCTCCCGCACCGCCGGTGCCTCGGGAGGGTGGCACCGGCGCTGGAACGGGCGCAGAATTTTCCAGGAGCTGTGCTGAGCCCGATCCCCGTTCCAGGCAGATTAACGGGAACGCCCGCGGAGACGCGCCCGAAACGTCCCCGGGGTGCGGGGGCTGCGCGGAGGCGGCGGCACAGCGCGGTCCGTGCCCAGAGCGCGCCGGGGGAGCCCCGGGAGCCCCGCGCCGCCCCCGCTCCCGCTCCTGCCGCTCCTTTGTCCTCGGCGCTGGCTCCGCCGCGACCGGCGCTCCCGCTCCGCGCCCCTCGCTCCCCGCCAGCCCCGCGCCCCGGTGGGTGTGCGGCACGGGCATCCCTGCCACGGGCATCCCTGCCACGGGCATCCCTAGGGGGTACCCCGGACCCCCCGGCCCCGCGGTACTCACGGTGCAGGCGGGAGCGCGCGTCCATGCGCGGCCGAGCCGCGGTGCGGGGGCGCGGGCGCTGCGGGGGCGCCGCCGGGGGCTGCCCGCGGCCGTCCCGCCGCCCGCCCCGCCGCGCCGCGGAGCCCAGGGCCGGGCCCGCCTCCGCCTCCGCGGGCGGCGCCCAGACACAAAGCGGCGGCGGCGGCGGGGCGGGTCCGGTCCCGCTGCGCGCCCGCGCTGCGCTCCGCGGCGTTGCAGGGGCGGTGCGGGGGGCGGGACGCGGACGCGACCCCCCCGCGGGCGGTGTGGGGCGATGCCGTGCGGAGCGGTGCTGTGCGGTGCTGTGCTGAGCGGTGCAGGGCGATGCTGTGAGGAGCGGAGCAGTGCGGAGCGATGCGGGGCGATGCGCGCAAGCGGTGTCGCCCAGCCCCGCCCGTTCCCCCCGCGACGGGGCGCCCCGCGGCCGGAGCATCCTCGGCGGGGCCGCGGCAGCCCCGCGCTGCGAGGAGGGGGAGTCCCCCGAAGGCCCGCTGTCTGACAGCCCCCGCACGCCGTGTCTCTCCTTTTTCCCCAGGCAGGAGCCACTGCCCGCACTTTGGCCGAAGTGCGGAGCCAGGCAGCGGGAAGGGGCTCGCAGCCACCCGGGAGCGGGAAAGCGACGGTGACAGCTCAGCGTCCCCCCGAGGGCCTGAGGTGTCGAGGACCACAGGCTAAAACCGCGTGGGTGATGAGGAACACCTCGCAGGGCATCCTGCTCGTGGGTGAGGCTGTCCTGCCTCCCTCCATCACCCACTGCGGGAGAGAGCGGGACACATGCGGGGCTGTCCAGCCCCACTCGGCGCTGGTGTGTGACCTGGGGGTGATGCTGATGACCTGCTGGGGCTTCACAGAAACATACAAGGGTTTGGAAAGGGACCTTAAAGCTCATCTCGTTCTACCCCCTGCCATGGGCAGGGACACCTTCCACTAGATCACTTCCCACAATGCTGGGTTCCTGCCAGCTTCTTCTGGTGTTGTACAGAACAGCTGCTGCAGCAGCAGCAGGTGCTGGTGCTGCTCAGTTCCTTGGTTCCCACTCTTTGTCTCCAAACACAGCAACGTGTCCCGTTCACTGTTCACCTCTGCCCCGTGCAGAGTTGGCTGGCTGGGGGAGCTGCTGCCACACACAGCCCTGGGCAGACCGTGCCAGTGCCATGTGATTTCCTCTGTGACACCGTGGCTTTACAGCTCTGTGCTGAGTAAGGTCATCACCTTGCTCTTCCAGCACTGTGGAATCTGCCTGGCAGCAGAGACAGAAAGCATTTGGCAGGAGCTGGAAGAGGATCACAGGCGAGTTTATGCCAGCAGTGAGTTCTCCAGCCCTGTTCCACATGGCTAATCCCTGAGCAAAGATGTGACCTCTCCCCATCACTGGTGAAAGAACACCAGTGCTGGGGACACTCCCAGACTCTCACACTCTCACCATCTCCAAGTGGGAATGGAAATTTGGCCCAGGCAAGTTTTGTTTTACCAACATTTCTGTTGTGTTTGAAGTGGTTGAAGATCTATATCTTGATGTTACCCAGAGAAAGTGTGACTGCCCCATCCCTGGAAGTGTCCAAGGTCAGGTTGGACAGGGCTTGAAGCAACCTGATCTAGTGGAAAGTGTCCCTGCCCATGGCAGGGAGTGGGACTGGATGAGCTTTAAGGTCTCTCCCAACCCAAACCAGTCTGGGATTCTGTGATTTCAGGGATGACATGGAGGGATGTCCAATGTCAGCCTCTCTCTGTCCAGCACTGTGACCAGCAGCACTCACAGCACCCCAGCTCCCGGCACAGCACCCACCTGTGGCACCCTTGGGGCCTCCAGCAGGGAGTGACCGGGACATCAAATATTCTTTCAAATATTCAGCAGAAACATCAAAAGCAAGGAGAAGTCTTTGCTGTTACAGCCAGTTGCACATAGAACTGGTGCTGCCCAAGGAAAGTTCGTGTCAGGGGCTGTGCCCATTGGAGATGGGAAACTGCATTGGCAGAGGAGCACTGGCATGGCAGGGACAGCTTCTGGGAGGCAGTAGATGGAGATTTGTCTCCCAGGAGATCCACTGTAGCACAAAGTATGCATTTTTTGTCACAGGGAGTTCTTCTCCCTTCCTCTATGTTCCTGGTAAACATCTCCAAGGTTTTGCAGGGCACTAAGACTTGCAACTTGAAAAACCCTGGATGAGTCAAGTCTTTATATACAAAATACAGGCAGACCTTTCTCCCTGGGAAAGTGTGGAGTGGGAAAAAAACACAGACCTGTGCCATGGGGGAGCTGCAGAAAGACGGGGGAGGTGGGAACCTTCTTGTGGGACAAAAACCCCCAGGCTGGGGCCAGGGAAGGGGAATGCTACACATAGAACTTAAAACCCCACTTCCCTTTGTCTTACACCAGTTTCATAGTGGTTTCACTGACTCCAGTGGAGACAGAAAAATCAAGGCAAACAAAGGGCAGGCCAGAATACTCACTCCCTGAATAATTGTGGATCCCAGGCACAACCCTGAAAGCTGCTCAATGAAAAACTCAAGATGACCAGTTGAACAAGTCCTTAGCCTGGGCTTCACCACATGTACTTCAAAATTTCCATTGATATCCCCATATAAACAACCCACTCCATGCTGTGTCCTAGCCATTTGTAGGCCTGGCTAAGGAAATTTTTAAAATCATGAAATTCCCTCAGCAAATTTCATAGAAAAGCTGGATGTGTTCTCTAAGAGGGTTCTGCAGGTTTGGGCTCAAAAGTGTCTGTGAGACTCACACCAGCTGGGAAGATCATGGGGTAAATCCAAGCATCACATGCTCCAGACTGATAACCCTGAAATAAAGTTATTTTTATTTTAAAAGACTGGAATATAGAGAGAGGGAACAGTTTTAAGGACACAGCTCCTTCTATTTAATAAATGGTGAAGCTACACAGCTTCAAAAATGTTCCCTGTAGGATTCCCAATATATTTTTTTTTCCCTCCGGTTTTACTAAGTCTTCTCAAGTGCTACTTGATATATTCCCAGACAATGACGATCCCCATTTCTGGAGGCTTTAATTGCAAGATTGAGAAGAGCAGATGAGTCATGGCTGTGGTGTTATAGACAGAGGCTGATTTTTAGGTCATCCTCTAAGTAGGGCACAGGGGATGGTAACTGAGAGTCCAGTTGGGTACTGGGAGAGGGTGATGGTGGCTCCAAGTGGGGTGTGAGGGGACCTGTCAGTCCAGGGCAAGAAGGTTAATGACTTTGGAAACAACGTGAACAATCAATAATGGGCCTTCTTCTTAGGAGGGTTGGGGGCGAAAAGCAAAACTGGGAGGGTAGGGATGGGCCCTGGATTGTAACTAGATGATCTTTAAGGTCCCTCCCTGCCCAAACTCTATGGAACGGAAAGGGTGGGAACATCCCTGCCCAGGTCAAGAGTCAGCACATCACTGCCCTGCCACTGCCACCACCACTGCCACCCTGCTCCTGGCCTTCCCAATGCTCGGCATGAAGGAAAAGGCTCTGAGGTCTCTCTGTCCATGAAAAAACTGGCAGCAAAGTGCAGTGACAGTCAGGAGAAGCAGACGGTCATTTCACCTGAATTGTCCTTTCCACCCTCCTGATTGTGGCAGAATTTAGGAGACGATGAGGAGAGGTGAAAAACTAGGATTGGAAGGAAGAAAAATCTTCATGAAAACCCAAAAAGTCCCGGGTACCACCTTCCCCCCTCATCTCCAGTGTGTGCCTGATTGATAATTGTCATTATCCATGAGGTACTGCTGGAGCTCTTCCATCAGAGGATGTGCCCACACCTTTCCTTCCTCACAGTGATCTCTGAGAGTTGCAGAAACTCATGGTTTACAAGAGATTTTGGCAAGAGTTGATGTTAAAAATGGAGAAGGAACACAGGACGATCAGCACTGAGGGACTGGAGAACTCACTGGAATAACTTGGGATATTTGCATCCCTGGGGCCTGTAGTGGGTCAAAGAATGGAAAGAACATTGGGAAAAAGTTAATTTTTCTGGAGTGTCTGACATGGGCATCAAAAGTTACAACCCTTCTTCAAAATGGAACAACTCATTTCTGCTACTTAATAGTGAAATTACTTAATCTATATCATCTGGAAGCACTTTAAAAACCTGTTATAAAATATAACCACCAGGGACCTTAAACTGCTCACTCTTGCCTTGCTCATCAGAAAGACAAATGAAGCCAGGAGAGGAGCTGGGACAAGCCTGATCTCCTCCTCCAGGATGTAGCCTGGTCTAGTGGAACGTGTCCCTGCCCATGGCAAGGGAGTGGAACAAGATGAGCTTTGAGGTCCTTTTAAACCCAAACCATTCCAGGATTCCATATGCTGGTTTAAATGAGATACTGGGAATAAATCCTTCCCTGTGAAGGTGGTGAGGCCCTGGCAGGTTGCCCGGAGAGGCGTTGGATGCCCCTTCCCTGCAAGTGTCCAAGGCCAAGTTGGATGGGGCTTGGAGCAACCTGGGATAGCAGAAGGTGTCACTGCCCACAGCAGGGGGTGGAACAGGATGGGCTTTAATGTCCTTTCCATCCCAAACCAGTCTGGGATTCCATGTTTCTATGAATACCACATGTGACATGTGAAGGCCACTGGGATGTTCAGTGCTGGCCCCAGGGGTCAGGACCATTGACAGATGAATCCCTAATCCTCTGCCTTCCATTTTTTTTCCTCCCAGTCATGTTTCCCACTCACAAAATCTGATGTTCAGGTGGTGCACAAAAGCCTCCTCTCCTATTTAAATTCCTCCCTGGAGAAGCTGAGCTCTCTAGGTCTATCCAGCAAAAGAAGTATTTAAATATCTGCTTCAAACCCAATCCCAGCTGTCTCTCAAACACATAATTTCATCTGAATTCACCACAATTCATGCATGACTTTCCCTGTCAGAGCCGCCCAGATGAAGAGCAGATGAAGGTCATTCCTAACTCCGCTGCTGGCGTGGGGAAATTAGAATTGCTTTGATGCAGAGGCTTCCCACCAGTGTTTTCTGTCAGTGCTGGCAAAGTTGTTGGCTATTACATTTTTGCAGTCCCTCTCAT